TCTTTTCTTCTCTGGCGCGTAAAAAGAGCTTCGGAAGGGTTACCAAATATAAGAGATTGATTGATATTTACTTGTTTATGTGTCATGAATTTATTCCTATTTATTAAGTTACCAAAGATGTTTGACTACAGTAGTAAAATAATTTATTAGTTTAAGAAATAGCTAAAAAATTTGTACTTTATAACCAAAGCATAATCTTATCTGGTCTATTTGCTTTGCATCATGATTTGTCTTGTATGGTTCTCTTATTGTGTTAAGCAATATTTGCCCCCCTTGACAACACACATGCACATACCTAGTAGTGATAATAATAATAATAATAATAATAATAATAATAATAATAATAATAATAATAATAATAATACAACAAATCTATCCACCAGTCGACTGGTGGTTTGCGACAGGCACGCACGATCATTTTTTTTCCTTCGATCTTTCTTTTCTTCTATGGCGCGTAAAAAGAGCTTCGGAAAAATAGTGCCACTGCTAGGATTCGAACACACGACCAGTCGGTTGCAGCCACAACGCATTACCAGCTGAGCTAACCACCTATTTTTGTTTCATTTGTGGGTTAATTTGTATTTCTACCTTAGTAAATGAGAACGAGAAAGAAAGACCACAACACCTTTGATGAGGAGACAAAACCATTTGCTCCAAGTTTTTTAAAGGGCCGATGCAACGTGTTTTGTACTCCATTTGTCTCTTTTTTGTAGTGATGAATGTTTTCTAGAGAAATAAATGTTTCACTCCTATACAATTCAAACAACGGTCTTTTTCTCATTTGTGATATCTCGGTAAATTCTTTTGTAATGAGATTGATAATTATATGTACCAAAACCTGATAGCTTATGTACAAATATCGTCATAGCTTTTTTTACAAAAAAAATTTATCTAAACATACACTCGATAGCTTTTTTGTATGAATAGTATGGTAATTCACACATCACATATCTGATAACTTATGCACCAGGGCCCTGGTACCTTCAGCGACCGAGGGGGGTGATCAAATATACCCCGGTAATAGCATGATAACTCACACATTGCAGACCTGATAACTTATGTACCCTTGTCCTGGTAACTTTAGCGACCGAAGGGG